TAACTTCATCCACATATTGTTTGTTTGCAACATCAGCGGCATCTGTTGGCAGTTTCACGTTACACATCTTCAAATGACCAACATCGATATCACCGGTTGGAGTATGTGAAAATCCAGATCTGTGTCACCATCTGAGCTGAGCGTGGAAACGAACCACGTCCGAATTTGTCGAGACTCATTATGCTAATGACTAAAGTATTGTACGTTATCGATAATGGTCGGCACTTTGCCTCACCAATTAGCCCCGCCACTCATAGACACGCCATGGAACTGTCACGGAAGTGTCATGGAAGTGTCAAGGAAGTGTCAAGGAAGTGTCACGGAAGTGTCACGGAACACGAAAGTGTCAAGGAAGTGTCACGGAACTGTCACGGAAGTGTCACGGAAGTGTCACGAAAGTGTCACGGAACTGTCAAGGAAGTGTCAGGAAAGTGTCACGGAAATGTCAAGGAAGTGTCACGGAAGTGTCACGGAAGTATCACGGAAATGTCACCGAATCGTTACACATGTTTTATTATGCCTGCCTCTTCTAATTTGTTCAAGATGGCAACAATCTCGTTATCGTTTGATGTATTTCCGGCTTGCTGTGATGCAATGAGCAACTTCAATCTATCTACCAATTATTCGTTTGGATCATCCCAATACATGTATTCGATAGGTGCTGTGTTGTATGTCAACTTCAAACCACGACCACTGGAATTGGATCTGAACATTGGACGAATAATTTCTACGTATTTGAGTCTAGAGGAAGACTTCATACGTCCTGCAGAATTCAGATGAGCTTTGGTGAGCAAGAGTATTTGCTTGTATGGGTTCGTATCATCTTTGGCAAAGGATGGATCATTATAGAAGAGTAATTGATAGAGGCCTGGGGTGCCACGGAACCGAAAGCCATCAAGAAGTATATCTCCAGTTCTTCGATGAAAATTCATTTCTTTTCCGTTGAGAGACCATTTCGATGTTACCGGATCATATTTGGGACCATAAACCGTATCGATATTTTCATCATTTGTCCAGTATTCAGTCAGATATTTTTGAGCCATTGCAGGATACTGATCAACGTAATCATGTATTGCAGCCGGTGAGATATTTTCACTATCTGCAAAAAGTTCATCATCAGCATTGTCATAACCGTCCTCATCATCATCTTCAGTATGCCCAGCATTATCAGCCACATCCATCATAGGTATGAAATTAGTTTGATTCAAATCTGATTGCTCCCTCTCCACCCCCCCATCCTCTTCCTCCTCCTTCTTCTCCTTCTTCTTCTTACTTCTTCAACCGCAACGACTTTGCTTTGCTTCGCTTGATGTTTGAAAGTGTTCCATCGAGTTTTTCTTCTATGACCTTGGACGCGGAGGCAATTTGTTTCAAAGGTGATGTCAGTGGTTGGAATATTTTGTGTAACGCTTCATCATCCTCAGACTTGCCTAATTTCAGAGCTAAATATTTTCGTCTGATTGATTTCGATATTTCATTGATTTTTTTCTTGCGTAGCGCATCAGCAACGTCATCATGCATCACGGTTAACGTCATCTTGATGAATGACCCAAAGATCCCAACCTTATAAACTTATCGGAACCATTTCTGTATCTGCCAGCGTTTATGTCAAAAGTTTTCGCAATCACCATCGCGCCATATTGGCTGGAATTCCAACACTCTAACACAACGCTTTGAATTGATCGAATGATATGTCTGGTGACACATGCTCATCAAACACATAATTCAGATTCATTTCATCTTGTCGAAATAACACCACCAGGTTACTGTTGTCTCGCACCAGCTGCTTTGATATCTTGGAATAGGTCTGGCAAAGGTATGCTACGTCAATGTCCTTGTGTCTACACATTGAGAAATATTCTCGAATTTTCTGCTGCTTGTCACATGACACATCATCGAAAATGAATATCGAGTGATTCTTCGCTTCTGATGGACTAATGACTTCGTCATTCTCTTTGAAGGGGAAATAACCAACGCCTTCCACTGAATCCATCACTTGTTGTAGCAATTGATATTTCGGCTGGTACAACGACTTTGAATACACGTAAACGTTCTTGAATTTCGCGTCATTTGGATTGAACAGCAGGGAAAGCATCGCATTGGTCTTTCCACATCCGCTTGGTCCACAGAAGATTGCTCTGAACGAATGGGGAAGCAGTTTTCCATGTTTACTATTCGCCGATGACTTGATTGATGAAATTTCATCCAAATTCTCGATGGGCAACGTCCGTTCTTGTTGAACGATCTCCATCATCTGATGAGAGTAGTAGTTGAGCTGTCTACACGTCAGTCTTCATGTTGCTCTACCACGGAGAGGGTGTGCTTAATTCTCTGATAGATAAACTTCCCATCGAATTGCACATTCCAGGATACAGATTTTGTGGTCCAGGCACCAAACTCGATAAGAGACTTGCTAGAGGAGACACCGGCATCAATCCGCTGGACGACGCGTGTCGAGAACACGATATCGCCTATTCTCAAAATTCCTCAATAGAAGACAGACACAATGCTGATTGGATATTGGAAAATCGAGCGTGGGAGAGAGTCAAGTCGAAGAACGCTAAATTCAAAGAGAAGGCTGCTGCTTGGCTTGTCACCACCGGAATGAAGGTCAAACGAAAACTTGGCATGGGTCTTGTATCACAGCAATCCCTATCCAACATTATCAAATTCATAAAAAATGTACTATCAAAGTCAGATGGTGGTGGTGGTGGTAATACAGCATCAGGAAGTGGTCTGAATAAATCTGCATTGAAAGCACTCCATGCAGCCAGAATGGCAGTCAAGAGGGCTGGCGGTAAAAAAAGAATCAGAGTACCAAGAATCATACCTCTTCCACACAGTGGCGGTATACTACCATTGATACCAATCTTTGCTGCCTTGGGAGCCATAGGATCTCTAGCTGGAGGAGCCGGAGCAGTCGCAAAGACGGTCATTGATGCGAAAAATGCAAAGAAAAAGCTCGAAGAAGATCAAAGACATAATAAAGCAATGGAGGCTATCGGCAAGCAAGGTTCCGGCCTATTATTACGCAAAACATCAAGAGGATTCGGACTGTACTTGAAGAAACAATCAAAAAACTACTAGACAAGCTACCCAATAGATCACTATACGATGAAGATGTAATAAAGTATGCCAATCAGCTGAAAATACGGTATTTTCGAGGTGTTTTTATGCGGGACACTCTACCTTCCACCGGTCCATGGCATCGCGAGTGTGCTGTATTGAATTTGGATACCTCCAATCATGCGGGCACTCATTGGGTGGCTTACATGAAGAATGATAAAAAAGTCTTATATTTCGATAGTTATGGCAATCTGAAACCGCCCAGAGAATTGGCTCAATATTTGGGTACCGGCACGAAAATCATGTACAATAATGAGCAATACCAAAATTTCAATCAAAGTAATTGTGGACGTCTATGTCTAGAATTCCTCTTCAATGAAACCAAGTAACACAGTCATTGTGCATCAGTCATGTCTCTGATTGTGACGTTGAAAGGTCGTACATCTACGCTCTCCATAGACTTTTCGACACCACTTCAACTCGATCCAGACTCTGATTACGGACTAGCATTGTTGGGATTTCATTCATACAACAGTATACCAAATATCGACAAAGGATCAAAGTTTTATCTGCAAGATAAGACCAAGGCGGGAAAGATCATCGATATTCCCGAAGGTTCATACGACATTGTTGACATTGAAACATTTATTCGAAAAGAATTGGGTATATCGAGTGCAAAGGACGTTGATGAGATATTTTCGTTGAAACCCAACAATAATACGTTAAAGTGCGAGATCTCGAGCAAACAGTTTGCCATTGATTTTCGTCTAAAGGATAGCATAGCTCAAGTCTTGGGATTTTCAAATAGATTGTTGAACGCACAAGAAGTCCACACTTCCGATTTGCCGGTCAGCATAACCAAAGTGAGAACCATTCACATTGATAGCAACGTTACTGCTGGAGCTCTGTACAACGATAGACCATCACATACGATCTACGAGTTTGCAGTTGCAGTCGATCCTGGTTACGCCATAGACGAGACTCCCAGAAATCTAATCTACCTACCTATAGTCAGCAGGCGGGAATTGCCCAACATTACACTCCAGATTCTCGACCAAGATTTCAGAGAGGTGAGTTTCAGAGGTGAAGAAATCATTATAAGATTGGAGTTGAAGAAACTCGCAAGATGGTACTAGTGTTTGATTACTCCTATAAATCAGACGGTCAGCCACCATCATCACCATCATCACCATCATCAGCATCAATTCCCTCGACACCATACACCAAAGCAGTCGTGTCTTCGAAGAGCAGGAGCAGAGAATCATTGACATTATCCAATATCCTGTTTCTCAAATCACTCGTAGGCTACAATGTTGTCAGCCCCCGTTTTCGACGTTTTCCGCAAACCCAGATTCGACGAAAGCATCACTAAAGCGCACCTATTACCCATATGTGAAATCATTCGAAAACAATGATGTCATCGATATTACAGTCAATCGAGCAGATTCGTGGTTGGCCATGTTTGAAGGTATCATCACCATCAAGGGTAAATTGGTTGTGGCCGGAGGTGGTATTGGTACATTAACCCACAATGCTGGAGCCTATCTCTTTGATTCTTGTACCTATGAATTGTGCAATAAAGAATTGGACACTGTCAGATATCCTGGAATAACGAGTACTGTGCGAGGATACTTGTGTTACACACCTGAAGACTCACGCCATCTAGCCATAGCAGGCTGGAACTATCCCAACGCTCGGATTCTCAACGCCGATAAAACGTTCAGCATGAACATTCCACTGAAACATTTGTTTTCCATCTTTAACGATCATCAAGTGGCAACGTGGGGCAAGCAGTCTATCCGTTTAGTGAGAGCTCGTAATGATGCCAACAGTGTGAAGGTTGTCGAGAGAGCTAATACTGCTTTGCCAGGATCTCCTCAGACTCAGAGCACTGCTAAAATAACGATTGAAAGCATCAATTTGAAAGTGCCGCATCATACACCCAACGATGACATAAAGTTGCAGTTGTTGACACGTATCAAGGCAGATGAGTCTATGATGATACCGTTCCGTCGATGGGAATTGCACGAGCTACCAGCACTCACACAAGGATCCACCATAGAAATCTGGTCGGTCAAGACGTGTTCTGCATTAGAGAGTCCCAGATATGTTATAGTATTTTTCCAAACGAAAAAAGCCGATAATTTGCATGAAGACGTCACCGTGTTCGATAATGCCAACATCAAATCCATACGATTGGCTCTGAATAGCGACCATTATCCGCAAGAAAGAATGCTATTGGACTTTTCCAAAGACCAATATGCCGACGCTCACTTCAACTATACAGAGTTCAACAAGAGCTATCATAACTGTCAACAAAAACGCTCTCTAGTGGATTTCAATGAATTCAAAACCCGACCAATGTTTGTTATCGATTGCTCGAGGCGCCATCTAGGCATGAAGTCGTCTACAGTTGATATAAAGTTGGACATTGAAGCGACGACAGGTTTCCCTCCCGACACCAAAGCCTATTACATCATCGTTCATGACCAAATCATAGAACACCTCCCACTCAGCGAAATTGTTCGAAATATCGCCTAGTTATAGGTGTTGATGTCACACGTCAGTTTGCTCCGGAGAGTCATGAAGATCGCACTGGTTGACATTCAAGCGTTCATGGTTGAGGGTGAATTCATTCCAAAGGAAATGGCTATCCGCATTGGCAAAAAGACGAGTCATTTTCTATTCAAGCCATCTGTAGAGTTTTCCAGTTTAAACAAATATGATAAAAAGATGGCGAATCATGTGGAACGTTACGTTCATGGTTTAAAATATTCCAGTGGTTATGTGGATTTGAATGAGCTGGATCAAATACTACGAGATAACCTGCAGCAGACAAACATCATCTACGTAAGAGGCCATCAAAAGATTCAGTTTTTGCAGCGAAAATGTGCAGAGTTGGAAATGATCAATCACATTGTTAATTTGGAAGATTTTCACAATTCTTGGTGGCAGCCAATAACGTTCCTACAATCCATTCCACCCTGCATGAATCATTTCCATGGAGGAAGGTTCAAGTGCAGTCTTCACAATGTCGATACTTTATATAATTGGTTATGTAATTTATTACCAAAATAAAAAAATATATAATAATTTCAGAGTTTTTATTCATCACATCCCTTATTTCTCAGTATTCCAACAATAACAATTGAGATTAAAATAAGTGAGCATATTAGTGAACAACAAAGTGTCAAAATTTCAATGACATTGACATCAGTATCTTGATCCAATTTTGCGGAGGATTTTTTCAATGCAAGTGTCTGCCAGTCTCCCATTTCGCCGTCACTGCCATCAGGAAACGATAATTTCAATTTATAGTGGATGCTGCTTTCATTAACATGTTGCGACATGTCGAATGAATATACAGGTAGTTTGTTATCATTGACATACATTCTACGCATCAGCTTCCAATCACACTGTCGTGTACGATTCACATCAAAACATACGGCTGCATTCCTCGTATTGTACGGTATGTTTGTGTAAAAGACGTTGTTGCTCAGAGCTGTCAATATAATGAAGCTTGCTTTCAGTATCGCCATCTAGTAGCTGTGTTGGTTGAATTCTTCTTCTTCTCGATGTAGGTGCAGCTGTGCGTCTCGGTTCCGTAAACACCTTGTCCCAAACACTCAAATTTTCAAAATCTTTAAACAGACAAACTTTCTGCTCATACAATTGGATGTCTGCGCTGAGTTGTCTAACCTTCAAGCCAAATTCTTCTAGTGCACGTCTGTATTCGTCAGAAAACATGATACAACTGTTTTACACGTTCATACTTTCAACCCACATCTTATTACATCTCTTTCCCTCTCTTTCTCTCCCTCTCTCTCACTCTCTCTCCCTCTCTTTCTCGTACAAATCCAGACAAGGGTGTGGGAAAAGAATACACAGAAAATTCTAATAATTGTAAAAGTGTATAATTGTATAAATGTAAAAAGGAATAATAAAAATGAAAAAAAAGTTTATACAATAAAATATGAATAATTAGATAATACTTAAATAATTGAAAATATACATATATACAACATAAATTATTGGATGAATAAAATAAGTTACATTTTTTCATGGGAAAATGAGTCATCAATACAACAGCGTTGGTTTGAAAATTTTGATGCAAAAATACTAAGGAGAAAATCAATCCGTCAAACTGTAGTGACCCCACGGAAGTGTGTCAAACGAATCGTGAATCAGTTTCCGCTTATCATCTTTGGGACTCAGGCCAATTTTAGTCTGCTCGATGGAAAAAACATCGTGAGCGTAGGAACGAATCGTTTGCTGGGCTACGGTCTTTTCTTTCCAAGCCGTCAGACAATCCACATAGTCATCAAAAGTCAACTTATTTTTGACGACGCATTTCTTGACACCCTTGGATTTTTTAGTTATACCAAAATTTTCCAATTCCCTATCTAGTCGTTCTTTACTGAATCCCTTTCTTTCCAATCGCTTTCTCTCTTTTTCAATATCCTCATCCGTTATATCCAATTTATAAATGTACATCTTGGACCGTAGTCCAGCAAAATGCGTAATAATCTTACCGTTTGCCTCATCCTTTAATAGGCCCAAGACTTTTTTATTTACTCGAGGTATACCATAAATATTGTCTGGAGCATAGTCAGACGTGTCAAATCTCTCGATATTTGCATCAATCACCTCACTATACGCATCGTCACATACAATTTCGTAGATGAAGCTGTCCGTATCGGTATACATGAGTTTTACGTCAGCTCCAAGCTTTGGCAACATGAAATTGTAGTGGAAATCATACATGACGATTTTTGACAAGTCAAGGATACACATGCCAATGTAGAGAGGTTTATTGAAAATCAGCTCTGCTTTTTTCAACTCTACTGCCACCAAATTGTCATCGAAAACTGTTCGTTGTTGGAACCGAGGACTTGAAATTAAATTTTTAATGCCATAGCGGCCTTCATACATTCTGACTAACTTAACTGTTCTATGATTACGAATATTCTCCATCGTCTTCCCAAACACCGCATTATTAGCCAATCTTTTTCAAAATCGTTTGTGGCTAGAGTCCTCAATCGAGTATTCAACTCGATGTAGGGCTTTAGCCACGTGGATTGTTTGAACTTTAATACTTTATGAATCTTGGTCAATTTCAGACCGTGTTCTAATGCCTGCTTCAAATTTCTGTAATGTAAAGTATATGACTTTTGATCGTACAGCGTGGTCATCAATTTGGATAATTTTGAATTTGGTGGTGTGCGGTGTTCGGGACAAAATGGTAGGTCCTTGTGTAGGTCATGCAACCCCTCAGGATACTCCAAATCAACTTGGAGAATATAGCCTTCTGGACTGTTGTCAGGAATTTGGGTTACATCAATGTCAACATTTTCTACCCATGTAAAGCCCCCATAAGGGAGGGGTTCACTCATTGCTTTTCCATAAAGGTTATTTACATCGAGATAAAGAAGGTACTTTGACGGTTTTTTTGGATCGTAATTTTTCTGATATTCATTATTTGCTTCACTATACCTATTGCAACAAACCGATACTCCTCCTCTTATCGCCTGCTCCACAAACATCACCATGTCGATGTCTTTGATGATTTGCAGCTTACACCCAGTATACTTGAGCATGCAATCCCAAGTATAGCCGGGCATGGTGTAATACCAAGCAGGATCGAGGCCATAGGTCTTGAGGGATGACGCACGGAAATTTTCCATGACGTCAGCAAGAGGAAGAATATCGGTCCGCATATATAGGTCGCTATATTCTCCCAGTTATTTCAGCTCGAAAGATTCCCAAACTTTTCGCGCGTGCGCGTAATCGTCGTCCGAAATATTCGTGTCGTTCAATTTGTTATAGAAATTTTGAATGCTTGGCAACTCGGATTCATCCAATCTTTCCACATTATCGACATAGTCATATGGAAATACTCCTTTTCGTGTCAACAATGCAAATTTCGTCTCATTTACGTCACTGAATTCCTTCTTTAGAATTTTCGAATCATCGACTTTCAACGTTGACACTAAAGCATCGAGACTGGTTCCCAAAAAGCGGAAAGAGTCGATGAATCGGAATTTTATGCTTGTTTCATCATCATGTTGTGTGAAGGAAATGTATTTTTCGCGATTAACCAGGAGTACGCTCACACGTCCCCGCTTGGAAATGTCTCTGATTATAAAATGCGAATCATATCCTGAGAGGTTGTGGAACGTAATGGGAACAACGAACAGTTTCCTGAAGTTGAGATTACAGGGAGCCTGGTGTGCGAAGCCTCTGAATGCGCCAGTAAAATGGTCGTGGTCACGTACGATAACGTCTTTTGCCTTGAATTTCTCTTCGCAAATGTGGCAGATGGTTGCGCCACTGGTACTAGCTGGTTTAACTACCATTGGAACGATATTTTTCAATTTGGATTCGACAAATTTGGCAATTTTAGACATTTCGCAGGCAAACCAGTCCATGCAATCTCCACCCCTATGACTACCATAAAATGACAGTGAGTCATCGAAAGAACATTTGAAATAGTACCCAGCACTGTATGCTTTATGATGTTGATACTTTGAAGTGGTTTTTGAAATTTTGGAATTACATTTCTCCAACTGCGATTCGAAATCGGCATAAATGATGAAAGGACATGTCTGCTTATACACATCCCACTGAGCAAGGAACATCCCGGGGATGTTTGGTAACGTTAATTTCTTGTACCTTTGGTGACCTTTTTGAGATTACATCTTTTATAAGTGATAATAACATATTTCTGGGACGTTTTAATTCGTCTCTTATTTGGGCTGACTCTGCTACATCCCCAGATACACATCGCTGTTTCGTAACAGTAAACTGACCTATGCACGTCTATGTGATCTTATTTGAGTCAATATTCCAACGCCTTCTCCAAAGTATTCTTATTTCATCCACAGAACATTTTATGTGACGTACTTTTATCATTTTTCGTGGGACTATTATCACGAACTTGATTCGAATCAGACACGTATCTTTCTCACTTTGTGCTATTTTGTTAATATTCGCCATTTTGAGAGATGATGCTGTCGTGGTTATGACGGACGGCGTGGTTTGTGTTGTGTTGTGTTTGATGTGTCTCACAATAAAGTGTGAATTTTGACTTTTGAGGTAGACTAATAGTCAAGAAAATCAAGTGGAAGTGCGTTTTTTGGAAAACATGGTGAGATAGGTGAGTTGAATTACCAAAATCATAATTTTCTGTTTATGTATCAGCACACTGTTGTCTGATTCATAATGGCTTCAGTCATAATTTATTGTCGGGTATCTTCCTCAGTGAATATATAATTATGTGATAAATATAACTACAAGCACACAAGTCTGTATCACCAAATAGCTATATAGGTATATCAGTGACCAACAGGCTCCCTCAAAATAGTTTGATTCATGTCATTCACGGAAGCTTTCATTGGAATATATCAATGTCTTCAAGTACTACATTGTTTACAGGTCAGTACTTATGAAGTTTCCTCGGAACCTGATGGATACCTACATTACTAGAACATGCGTGAGCTCTGGACAAACCTACCCTGCTCTGACCTACTTTAGTAGAAATGATGGAATACACATCTGCTGTTTGCCTGGGAACTTCAGGTATGAAAAAGTGAAATGCATATAGTAGGTAATGTAAATTTATTACTTAGGTATGGTATACAGGGTGAGTCATAACTAACCAGCCATAGCCTAATGGCGGATAGCGGAGGTCAAGGTGAGTTGATATATATGTAAAAAAATATTTTTTGCCTATTCTTCACAGAAATACAGAGCATTATTTGAATTCGGGGCAAAACTTCAATGAACGATATTTCAGGAACGTCTCGATGTTATCGGCTGAAATTCACTAACAACTTACCTCTACTGACACTCCACAAGATGACGTACTATGAATGAAAAATTCTAGATCCGGACTTGGAAAACTCATTTTCTCTTTAGATGTCAAAATTTTGACCTTCTGGATCGGACTTTTCGGAAACTTTTATCAGAATCAGAAAGAACAGGAAAAATACTACAAGTATGGCTTCCCAATTCGTACGGCACACTTCGATCGTTCTGGTTAAAAAATATCAAACAAAATACCGATGAATTTTTCTTCGATTTCGTCCGGGCATATCACTCTCTAAATTCGACTAAAAGTAATTATATCAAAATTTTTCCTGGAATGATTCAACAGCAGACTTGAGAAAAGGTATAATTCAATCAAAAATCCAGGACCGGACTTGATTTTGGATAATAACAATTTTAATTTCCGAAAAAGATTTTTCTGGATCTTAATATTAATCAAGATTCTCGAAATGTCCTCCTCCAATTTCTATACATTTTCTGCATCTTTTCGGGAGATCTCGTATATGGCTTTCCAATAATTTGCCTATCTATCCTCTCCCAATTTTCAATTGAAATCTAACTTCTACTTGTGATAATGTGAAAACATTGTATTCAATAAGAACAATTGTTGCTTTGGAGCAGATTTTTTTTTCGAATCAGATATACGTGCCAACTTATACTAGATGGAGGGATTTTGATTTGAAGTAATACTGAATATATGATCTCATTTCTTGTGACCTCTCCCAATCAGCAAATCAAATTGTGAGTTTAGTAGTTCATCGATTTTGAATACACATGAAAAGAAGGCTGTGATATAGTAGTGTATGTCGTTGACTCGATTTTTGACGGTTGTTGAAACTGTCAAACGTCGTGGCGGCCCTCATTCTTGGCCTCCTAGGTCCCCTGATCTCACAGTTTTGGACTATTTTCTTTGGGGGCATATGAAACAATTGGTCTATCAGACTGAAGTCAACACCAGAGACGAACTGAGGCAGATGATAGTTACAGCTGCAGATATAATCAGAAATAATAAGCAAATCATTGAAAAAGCCATGAGAGGTCTTTCGAAGTGATGCAGAAAATGTTTAGAAATTGGAGGAGGACATTTTGAAAATCTTGATTAATATTAAGATTCTGACAATTTTTTTTCGAAAATTATAATTCTTATTTTCCAAAATCAAGGCCGGTCCTGAATTTTTTATTGAATTATACCTTTTCTCAAGTGTGCTGTTGAATCTTTCCAGGGAAAAATTTTATCTAATTTCTTTTAGTCGAATGTAGACAGTGATATGCCCAGACAAAATCGAAGAAAAATTCATCGGTATTTTGTTTGATATTTTTTTACCAAAACGATCGAAGTGTGCCGTACGAATTGAAAAGCCATACTTGTAGTATTTTTCCTGATCTTTCTGATTCTGATAAAAGTTTTCGAAAAATCCGATCCAGAAGGTCAAAATTTTGACATCTAAAGAGAAAATGAATTTTCCAAGTCCGGATCTAGAATTTACCATTCATAATACGTCATCTTGTGGAGTGTCATCAGAGGTAAGTTGCTAGTGAATTTCAGCCGATAACATCGAGACGTTCCTGAAATATGGTTTATTGGAGTTTTGCCCCAAATTCAAATAATGCCCTGTATTTCTGTGAAGAATAGGCAAAAAATATTTTATTATATATATATCAACTCACCTTGAGCTCCTCTATCCGCCATTGGGCTATGGCTGGTTAGTCATGACTCACCCTGTATATTTCAGAATCCAAGTATCTGGGATTTCATTCAATCAAAAATAGAGAAATTTGGGGGACACAAGAATTAGTAAGCCCTTTTTTCTTGAAAGGCGTATGAAAAAATGATGACAACATGAAAATCAACTCTTACATTGGGCTCGAACACTCTAAAATCCACCCACTGCCACAGAGGAGGGTGAAAGTATCGAGAATCAAGAACACACCATCAGGAAGGGAACTAATCGAGGCAGAATCAAGGTAGGATTATATGAATATTTGATTCTGATATTGTGTATAACAATTGTTTGGTGTTTCAGGTGCATTTCATGAAATC